CTGCTCAAAGTCCCACCAAGGCCTTGGAACCATGCCACCCACATCCTCTCACACTGGCCCAATTGTTCATGGCAAATGCTTCCCTTTTGAACTCTGGACCTTCTGGAGGAAACAGTTTCAATAGGAATAACTCTGAATTCTCCTAGGCCTTGGCATCTGGGCTTCTGGAATAGAGCTTCCAGGATATATGGCTCTTTTGAAGGAAACAAATTCAATTGGTGATTGTGTTCCCATTAATATGCCTAAGGAGTGATTCTGAACTCTTGCCAGGGCATTTTTTTTTTCATTCGACAAACACGTATTGATCTCCTACTGTGCACTCAGCAGTGAGCTGAGTGTGGGGGCAGAAAGGTGGGGAGAGTGGACACTTTGAAAAATGACTTTGACCCAGTATCGTAAGGAACATAAAGGAGAATAACAGAGGAAGGCACAAAAGGCTATGGGGAACCCTGCAAAGGGCGGTTAACTACACCTGCAAGACAGGAGGGCTCGGAAAGGGGAAACCAGGGCTACCAGGCACTGAAGAAAATGGACCTGCAGAAATTTAGGGGGGGTCCAACTTACTCCCCAACATTTCTGGGCAAGTTTGGAATGCACACAATTCAAAAAGATTCCAGTGAACAGACATTTTACCATGGATGGGTTACTTGCCAGGCACAGAGCTAGATGACAGAGGGATCTAGAGAGAAACAAAGCAAAGCCCCGCCCCTGAATTGCTGATGCTCCAACCGTGGAGATTCAGCCTAAAAAAATTTTTTTAATTAATTAATTTATTTTGGGCTGAGTCTTCACTGTTGTGGGTAGGCTTTCTCTCGTTGCTGCAGGTGGGATCTGCTCTCTTGTTGTGGTGCACCTGCTTCCCACTTCAGTGGCTTCTCTTTTGCAGAGCATGTGCCCTAGGGCATGTGGGCTTCAGTAGCTGTGGTTCAGAGGCTCCGCTGCCTCACAGCATGTGAGGTCTTAGATCCCAGACCAGGGATCGAACCCGTGTCCCCTGTGTTGGCAGGCAAATTCTTTTTTTTTAATTAATTAATTTATTTTACTTTACAACATTATTGGTTTTGCCATACATTGACTTGAATCCGCCATAGGTATACATGTGTTCCCCATCCTGAACCCCCCTCCCAGCTCCCTCCCCATCCCATCCCTCTGGGTCATCCCACTGCACCAGCCCGGAGCACCCTGTATCATGCATCGAACCTGGACTGGCGATTTGTTTCATATATGATAATTTACATGTTTCAATGGGCAGGCAGATTCTTAACCACTGGAATGCCAGGGAAGTCCTGGAAATTCAGTTTGGGTACAGGTGACTGCCCAAGGACACAATGCCTTAGAAAACCCTACTTACAATCCTTCCAAAGTGGAATGGGCTAATAATCTCAGGGACTCGGAGACACCAGGGCAGGCTTCCTAGAGGAGGTGGCAGGACTGAGGTTTTAGAAAGATGAAGTGGTAGGGAAGAGGGAGGAAGGAGGAGAGGCCTGTGGCACAAACAGGCCTGGTGACCCCTAAGCCACGTCACAGGTGCAAACCACACACACGTGTCCCAGTTGGAGCAAGGGTCTGTCTGACGTAGTGGAGGCAAAGCCAGGGTGAGGTGGGGTGAGGTTTGACATGATCCTGCTGGCCAGACGCCACCAAAGTTGTCACCACTGAAGACTTTTTGTTCAGCTTTCTCAAAGGATCCTATCTCTAGGAGGCCTGCCCTGCTGAATACACCCCTGCTATTAAACAGTAACCCGCATGTCTTCTCACAGTATAACCAATGTAGGTTCAGTTGAGATTATATAGGAAAAAGGAAAAAGAAAATTCTTCTGAACATTTCCCTCTAGAGCTCTAGACTCCTCAATCGCTCCCTATTGCTCTCAGGACAAAGTTCGACATGCAAAGTCAATGGCTCCCGGCCCCTCACCTCTCTACAGCGTTTTTACCAGATGACCTATGGTTCTTCAGACCTGATATTTCCCCCTCAGACTTCTGAGTATGCTGCTGTTCTACACGGAAGCCTCTGATTCTTGCCCACTTCCCTATCTTCTGGCTTTTCAAATCTTAATGCTTCCTCCAGGCACAGTCATCTGGCCCCACATAAAGGTTAGATGCTCAGTTCCGATCACACAGTGAGGGCATGCTCCAAGGGCTTGTTTCTCTCTCGGGAGGCTGTGAACCCCTGGGGCAGGGATTTCATAGCCAAACCCCTTAGTGGTCAGCACCATGGAAGACAGCAGTGCTCATTAGAGGCTGAGTAACGAGTAAGCTATCCAGTGAGTGAATCTGATGTGCCATTTCAGGTTAACCCATAGAGCAACATCACAGGAAAAAGGACCATTCATACCCATCAAACTTTTTGAAGGAATGGAAAGTACCTACAGAATACCCACGTAATCACCTCCACAACTACAAGACCAGGGACTCCTGGCACAGGCCCCGGGGAGCCGGTGGGGATTTTGATCAAGGGAGGGGCATGCTTTTTCCAGCCACAGTTGGTATCTGTCTGGAAGCCCCTCTGTACTCCTCCCCTGCAGGGAGGGGACAGGGGTCCCTGGCACAGAAATGTAGAGGGCAGCAAAATGCTAAGAAATGATTTTTCCAGACTGTACACCTCTCTCAGCCCTCCTGTCTCACCCTGTGCACACCCACAGAGAGGATGCAGAGGTGACCAGGTGGCCGGGGCAGCCTCACTCCCTGTTCCATTGTGGCCACCACCTGTCGCTGCATTCATGCTTCCCACCCCTCATCCCACACTGTCCATGAGGAGAGAACTCGCCATCACTTACCCTGCCCTGAGCAGCTTGGTGCTCACGCACAGCCTGCAGAGCCTCACTCCGCCATCCCGAGAGGTGCGGCTGATTTTCCCACTTGAGCTGGAATGTTCTGTCCAGCAGAGTGGAGCAGCTGTTTGGTCCCAGGCCTGGGAGGCCCTGAAGCCTGGGCTGCGGTACCAGCTGTCTGCTTTGACCTTCACAGCAGCCTGCTTGAGGAGGCCAAGCGGATGGGGGCATCCTCACCTGGTGACTCCTAGGTAGAGTGCTCCATTGCTGTGAATGTCCAGGGCCCCCACTTCTTCTTTGACTAACTTTGTGAGGCCCCATGGAGGTCTGGGCCATAATAGAGCCCTTGGTCATGGGGGTAAGAAAAAGGAGGGGCAAAAGAAGAAAAGGGCCCCCTCCCTCCCATCTAGACCCCCAACTCGGCTCTCTGCACCTCTCATCTTCCCCCACCCCAACCCACCAACAGTCCCATTCATTCACTCATTCACTCTCATAGTGAGCACCACCCTCGCTCAGGGGGATAGCTCACACAATCCAACAGCTGGACACAGGCTTTATTATTATCCCCATTTCACAGAGAAGAAAACGGAGACTTGGAGGCATTAATGATCCAGGTCTGCTGTTGGTGGGGGCTGGGACTCCAGTTCAGGGCTGCCTGGCCCTGAAACCTCTTGCAGCTACATTCCTGCGGAGGACTCTGCCCCTGCCCCCACCCTCAGTTATGCTGCTGTCCTAAGAGGGGAGGAGGAGCCTGAGAGCTTGGAATCCATGTGTAGAAGATTCCAGAAGTCAGGGCTCCTCCTCATCCTCCTCAGCTGTTTGCTCAGGGAAGTACCTCAGCCTCCTCTGGGTTTCCCTCCAGGCCCAAGAATGCTTCTGTCTGTCACAGGGGCGGGTGGGCAAGAGAGGGCTAATTAACAGTCTGCAGGGGGCAGGGGGGGAGGAATGGGGGGAAGAGGGGGTGGCTTTGAAGCTGAGAGTTAGCCTTCCAGGGGTAACCTGTTATCCTCAAGCTTCAGAGGCGGAATAAGGAAATTCCAGGTTCCAAATGGAGAGTAAAAATCTTTTAACAAGGTGATAAAGGGAGGCCAGGGTGAGGATGAGGGGCGGGTCCCTCTCACCTCCACTGTGCAGACCCTAGCTGCCTTGAGCTAAAAGTGTGTGACCTGGGTCAGCCTCAGGCTGGGAGGCCTATTTCATCACCGCAGGAACCTGAGCCGCTGGAGGAAGGGAGAACCAGGCCTCCCCCAGGGGCCCCTGGCTTGGGGTGGGGGTGGAGGGCCAGGATCTGAGCATGGCCAGAGTGGGAAGGAGCAGTGCAGGTTTCTGGGCCTTGCTCTGCGGGTCCTGCCCCAAAGGCTTCCTTTATGAATTGACCTGCCGGATCTCCACCCCACCCCACACACCTGGCCCCTGAGGGCGGCTGGCCACGTGGAGCCCCATGCCCAGCGAAGCACAAGTCATCAATAACTGTTGGCTCTAAGGGCCTTTCTGGGGCTGACTCGCCAGGGTTCTCATTTAGGTGGCCTGTGGGTCCCAGGTAACTAGGCTGGGCCCTCCAATCATTCCCTGACTGGGAAAGCCCTGGGGGCCGCTCTGAAGGAAGGCCCCTCAGAAGCAGGACCTCTCTTGTGGGTTCCCTGAAGGCAGCAGCGGGCCCCACTCTGCCCTGGACTCCCAGTGCCTGCCACAGGGGTGAAGCCACACTCCAACATAAAATCTTGGTGTTTACAATCCAGTAAACACGAAATTGAATGTGTGGAGTTACTAGATAGAAGAGATTTTAGAGAAGTCTCACCACAAATTAAAACCTGATCCCATTTCCATATCTGAACCAATTACTTAACCTCTCTGTGCCTCAGTTTCCTCATCTGTAAAATAGGGAGAGTGACAGGATCTACCCATAAAGTTGTTCTTAAGTGATATGAGCTGAGAACAGCATCTGACATATAAAGTATTTTGTCATTTATTATTACTTTTATTATTAACTGGTTATTAATTACTGTCATCGTTAGTTACATAGTTGTTCTCTTCAACTGTTTGCTGCCTCCTAGAATTCCTTTGACCCTTTCACCACACAAGGTGGGGCAAACTGGGATGGCAGATGAATTTAGACAGATACTGTGACTTAAAAATCAGCCCTGGCAGCATGACAGCACATTACAGGCGTTCAGAACTCCCCATCAGCTTCACATGCGATCCTTACAACAAACGTGAAATCCACAAACACAAGTACTGTTCTCCCCATTTACAGAAGAGAACACTGAATCACAAAGAACAAGGGAGTTGTCTAGGTGACCCAGCTGGGCAAGGCAGAGCATAGATTTGAACATGGATGAGAAATCGTTTGTGCAGTCAAGAAATGTGTGCTGAGCACAGGTGGGCCAGGCCTTAAGGACATGAGAGAGATCTGTTCTTCTAGAGATAACACCTCTTACACAATGAGCCAGGAAAAGGTGAATAAATGAATAAAGATCGCAGCTTGTAGTAAAGACTATGAGGAAAATAAGCAGGATGCTATGATCAAAACTAACGAGGAGGAGGGACTTCCCTGGTGGTCGAATGGCTAAGACTCTGCACACCCAGTGCAAGGGACCTGGGTTTGATCCCTGGGACTAGATCCCACATGCTACGACTGAGAATTTGTATTCTGCAACTAAAGATCCCATAAATCACAACTAAGACATGGAGCAGCCAAATAACTAAATAAATATTAAAAAGAAACAAACAAACAAAACCCACCTAAAAACTAAAGAGGAGGTTGCTCCAAGAAGACTTCTCTAAGATCTGGGCTGAGTCCTGAAAGATAACAGGTGCCTTTCCATTGCTCCCAGCTGCCTTATGTCTTAATTCTCACTAAAGTATAATAACTGATTGACTGTGGAACCCAGACTGGAAGCAAGATGTGTAAATAGAAGGGCAGAGGGAATCTGAGGGCAGTGTGGAGGCCCTGGAAGCAGAAAGGAAGAATGATATAGAGAAGGAGAGGGTTTGGAAAGGCCGGGGGACCTTGCAGAGCTAAGGCTGTGAGTTGCAACTTTTAAAGGCTTTGCTGAAACCAGAAAGGCAGGCTTGGGGGCTCTGACAGAAGCTCTCATGGTGAGAAGGAAGCCCTCTGAGCCCTCCCAGAGACAGCCGGCAGTTTGAGGCTATCAAGGGAGAAAAATGGAAATGATCTGTTCCTGGGAAGCTGGGTGCAGGAAGAAGACGTCATTCCTAAGGAGAGCAGGGTATGGGGGTGTGGGTACAGGCTATAATGCAGGTCCTTCCCTTCTCACAGTTGTCCTGACTTAGCTGGTCCCATGCACCACTCCACATCCTTAAAGTGTCCCTGCTCTGCACCCCACACTCTAGTTGGGAAGCAGAGAAGGCCTTTTCTGGGGAAGTCCCATTTGCACGGAGACCTGAGGTATGAAAGGGGAGGGGGGGAGCTTGTTTCTGGCAAAAGGAGCAGTACGCATAGCATGCACTAGAAATGTAATTATTGGCTAATAATAGTAATAGTAATAATAATAACTGGAGGGGGGCTGTTGACTGGCGGTGTTTGCTGATTTTCGTGGTGTAAACATTCTTCCCACAGCAAGATGTGGATGATCACAAGCCAGGAGGAGCTAGCTGCAGCCCCTGACTGGGGTGTGTGGTCTCAGGCAGATAGGCAGGTACTTGGTTGGTTGAAAGAAGGGGCACCCAACTGGGGAACCCAAAGAGGTTGCTGGCCTCGGAGGGGGTATGGGTGTTGGTCAGCAAGTAGTTTGTATCGACTGTGACTGCAGGTCTCTGCATCATATTCCTGTCCCCCTCAGAACTGTGCCTGGGCCCAGGGTTCCTGGAGTTAAGTAACAAAAGGAGAGGTAATTCGTTAGCTCCTCACGGGAACTTTTCATCAGGTAGCAGGGGCCAGAACTCTGTAGCCATGGGTGGGACGCCCCTGGAAGTGCCTCTGCCCTCCTGTCGCTGACAAGACCCAGATGGTGGGTTCAACATCCCTTCTGCCTGAGGAGGTCCAGCCAGCCAGCTAGGCTTGAAGCGGGGGGCACACAGGTGGAGCGGTGAGATGCCATTGGTGCCTCTCCAAAGGCCTAGTCCCAGGAGCTCTTAGATTATGCAGCATCTCTCCATTCCCTTTTTTTTTCTTCCAAAAAATAATTATTTATTTATTTGGCTGTGCTGCATTTTAGTTGTGGCATGCAAACTCTTACTTGCAGCATGTGGGGTCTAGTTCCCTAACTAGGGATCAAACCTGGGTCCCCCCACATTGACAGCACCAAGTCTTAGCTACTGGACCACCTGGAAAGTGCCTCCATTCCCCTTTTAAAGGCTAGAGCAGGGCAGAGAAGGACCAAGTGATGACAGTAGGTAGGGAGCTGCCCAGGCTTCAGGCACCCAGGGGAATCAGCCACTCACAGGAAGGAGGAGGGGGAGGCTTGGAAAGGGCAGGACTAGGTGACAGGGCCTTGAGGTCGGGGACCTTCACTTCTCACCCAACTGATCACCCTGGACAAGGCACCTGCACCTAGACCACCTAATTTTCCCTGCCCTAAAAATCCTCTGTGCTCCACCTATTCAAACCTCCTTGTCCCTGGCAATACCTGAGCTTTTTATTGTCTCCTTTTTTGCCTTTTCCTAGAATGTCATATAGTTGGAAACATTGTATGTAACCTCTTCAGATTGGCCTCTGTCACTCAGCAATTAGCTGTAAGTTTCCTCTATGTCTTTTCCTGGCTTGATAACTCATTTCTTGTTAGTGCGAAAAATATCTCCTTGTCTGGATGCATGGGAGTTTCTTTATCCTTTCACTTACTGAAGGACATCTTGGTTGCTTCCAAGTTTTGGCAATTGTAAATAAGGCTGCTACAAACATCCATGTGAAGGTGTTTGTATGGGCATACGTTTTCATTTCATTTGAGTAAATAACGTGGAGTGCAACTGCTGGACTATATGGTAAGACTATGTTTGGTTTTCCAAACTATATTGTTTTCCATAGTGGCTATGCCATTTTACATTCCCACCAGCAATAAACGAGAATTCCTGTTCCTCCTTATTCTTGCCAGCATTTGGTGTCATCAGTGTTTACAATTTGGCCATTTGTAATAGGTAGATAGTGTTCCTATTGTTGTTTTAACTTGCATTTCCCTATGATGTGGAGTATCTTTTTATATGCTTACTTGCAATTTGAATATCTTCCTTAGTGAAATATCTGTTCAGACCTCTTGTCCATTTTTTAATTGGGTTGTTAATTGTCTTATTGTTGACTTTTAAGAATTCTTTCTATATTTTGGATACCATTCCTTTATCAGATATATCTTTTGCAAATATTTTCTCCCACTCTGTGGCTTGTCTTCTTGTTTTGTTGATGAGTTAATTTTTTCATTATTAAAATAATTACTGTATGTGCAACAAATTGATAATGAAAATCAAGAGAAAAAATATTCTTCATTCCACTCCTCTAAGGATATTATTAATAATGATGATATTGACAAGCGTTCTCAGCTTTGGAACACTCCCAGTGTTGCAGGTGCTGACAATCATCTCACGTGATCCCACCCCAGACCTTGCAGAGCAGATATTATTATGCCCATTTTACAGATGCTAAAGAGGAGCCTCAGAGAAACGCAGTGGCTAGATCCATATTGCATACTACTAAGAAGAGAAACCAGTATTCAAACCTAGCACCGTCTGTGTCAGAGTCCTTGTTCCAAACNGTTTCCACTGTCTCCCCATCTATTTCCCATGAGGTGATGGGACCAGATGCCATGATCTCCTCTTAATTTTTATCACCTATTTTTAATGTTAGGATCTCCCTGAGAGATAGACATCCTTACTGAAGAACAGATTGAAACTCTGAGAGGTTAAGTGGCTTGCTCAGTCACACAGTCAGCCAGTGTGAGAACTTGGATATGCCACTTTCCAAGGATTCACACACTGTGCTGTCAGACTCCACAGTCCAACTCTTCCCGCTACTTGGAGTGACCCCAGAAAAATCACCCTGGGACCAGATTGCTGCTATAACTGCTAGCCTGCTTCCCCCCTCCCCCCACCCATCCTCTGTGACTTCTAGAAGGATCATCCTGCTTTCTTCCACTGCAGCCTCGCCCATGACCTTCCCACCTGACCCTCTCCCCTGAGCCAGACCGCCTGCATCTACTCTTTCTTGAGCCTCCAGGACTTGATCCACACTACTCTTCTGCCTGGCGCACCTTCCCTCCCTCTTTACCGCCAACTCCACCTGAGCCTGGAAGAGGCGGAGATGATAGTGGAAGGTGCCTTCCAAGGTGCCTCCTTGGAAGGTGGCACCATCATGATTCCCCAAGGGAGCTGTTCACAGGAAAGATTTGGGGTAGAAGCCCTTCCCCCAAGTCCTATCTTCAGGGCCAGCTGAGCAAGCAGCCCACAGGAGGTGGGAGATTCCAGGTCTGCTTCTTCCCCAGGTGGGCTGGTGATGCTGGGGCCTCCCCTTTAGTGGAAAGCACCCTCATGTCCCCCTCCCCTGGCCTGTATGGGTCCCAATCCCAGTTCCTCTTGTTGTTACGGTCCTCAGTGGCACAATGATGGTAGCTTCCTACTGCACGCCCGGAGGCTGACCTCCGGGTCACCCAGCCCCAGCATTCCAGTTAAAGAGGAAGGGGGCAGAACGGGAAGTGGGACTTCTGCCCTACCAACCCCACACTCTGCTGGGAGCCGGCAGGCGTGGGGGTGGGGAGAGACAGCAGAGGAAGGTGTTTCTCTCAGTGTTATTGAAAGCCGTTAGACATCTCCAAGTGACCCCCTCCCTGATATTTTTGCAAAATCTCTGCCTTGCTGCATTTCATTCAGCATTTAATGAGCTCCTACTATGTGCCTATCCATAGAGTAGGTGTCATTAGCATCGAAGATCGTAAGTCCAGCCTTTAATGGAAATGGCACTGGCATGCGACCAAGATGATCTGGGTAGCTGAGTCCTGCTCCGTAATTGTTAGCTAGCAGTCACAGGCACACCAGGAAACCTTCCAGGACTCTACAGCATCATCTTTAGGATGGGGACTGTGATATCTAACTGAGGGAGCTGCAAGGGAGCAGGAGTGTGAACATGACCTCATACACTGGCCATCACTGTACAAAGGTCAGGTGACGCTCACAGCCTAGCAGGGATAGAGACCCACACACTCAGTTAACCATGAGGCAGGGCATCCTGAGGTGAGGGCATCAGACACAGTTTAAGGATGCTATGGAGCCCTAGGGGAGTGATTCATTCTGACCAAGGGGGAGGGGGCCTTAAAGAGTGATGGAGTTCTATGAGCTCCAACACAGAAGAAAGGGCACTTAGGTAGAGGCAGAGGCTAGAGGTGTGATCGACACCAGTGGTCCCCGGCCCTTTAGCACCAGGGACTGGTTTCATGGAAGATAATTTTTCCACGGGTGGAAGTGAGGGGATGGTTTCAGGATGATTCAAGCGCATTGCATTTATTGTGACTTTATTTCTATTATTATTACATCAGCTCCAACTCAGATCAGCAGGTCTTAGATCCCGGAGGTTGGGGACCCCTGGTCTGCACTGCCTATGGCTATGGGGAGCTATGGGAGGGTTTTGAGCGGGGGAAGGACAACCAGATCTGTCTTTTAATTTTTATTGGAGGATAATTACAATATTGAGATTTTTTTTTTGCCATATATCAGTATGAATCAGCCATAGGCATACTTGTGTCCCCTCCATCCGGATACCTCCTCCACTTCCCTCCCCACCCCACCTCCCCTCCCGGTTGTCACACAACTTCTGTGCTCTGCATCGTATATCAAACTCCCACTGGCTGCCTGTCTTAGAGGTCACACTGGCTCCTAGAGAGGGACAGAGTGAAGTCACTGTGGCTGAGCTGAGTGAGTCAGAGGCTTGAGCCAGCCACAATCTCCAGAGGAGAGGGGAAGCCAGTCGAGGTTCCCCCTGCCAGATGGAAGTGGGAAGCCTGGGCCGGGCTGAGCCAGCTGCCTGTCCTTAGCCCCTCCCCCAAGCCTACCCCCACCCCCTGGGAGCCTAGAGACCTGTTTGTTTTCCTTGTAAAGAGGGGAGCCCTGCCCTTTGTGAGATTTCTGCTTAGGAAGGAGCAAGCCGTCTACTTGTGCTGCTGCCTGGATTTCCAGCTATTGACACAGACTCTGACAATGAAAGCAAAGGCCAAGAGAGGCAGAGACGGGGTGGCTGATTAAAATGTTCTTCCCCGGTTGTTCAGCTCTGCCCTGGGAAGGCTCGCTGGAAAACCCGGGGAGGAACCGTCTCCTCCAGAGCTGCAGGCCCAGTGAGAGGTGGGGCTTCGAAAATGACCAAGGAGTTTTTGCCCGCCCCCCCGCCACCCCAACCCACTCCAGTGGCTCCAGCTCCCAAGTCTGCTGTTTTGGGGGTTCCACCCTCAGGTAATAACTGGGGTCACGTATGTGACTGTAATTCTTTTCGGGCTCAGTTTGTTTCTAAAATGGGGCAATGAGAGCACTGCTTCACAGAGTTTGTTATAGGTCAGATTCACCCAAGAAAAGACTCAGATGGAGCAGGGTTGTCAGATAAATACAGGATGCTCAGTTAAATTTGATTTTCAGATAAATGAAGGATTTTGTTTAATATAAGTATGTCCTGTGCAACACTGTGGATATACTTATACTAAAAAAAAATTTATTTGTTTAACCAAGATTCAAATTTCAGTGAGTATCCTGTGTTTTTACTCGCTACCTCCCACAGCTATAAAGTGGAGAAAGTTCGAGGGGTTTACTGAAGGGTGATACCTAAGCAAGGGGAGCAAGAAGGGGCAGAGGAGAAGCCACAGGGCTGGGACAACGTCACACAGAGGTCTCAGTCGACCTGCAGGGACGCTTGGGAGCTGGAGCTGGGTAGCCTTTCAGAGTTGTCCAAGCTGAGACTAGGGCACTGGGTTTTATACTCCTATAGCCCACCCTCATTGGATTCTGGTTTCCCCTGGTAGGGTGGGGCCTGATGGGGCGTGAGCTTGGGCAAGGGGGTTGTCCTCCACTGAAGGCAGTTCTGGGAGCTCCCCAAATTCCCCACAGCTAAGGTATGGTGCTTTGGTCCCAGGGGAGTCTGGCCGCGGCCCACCCTGCAACCATGACCCAGAGGTTAAACAGTTTGATGATGATTATGAAAACAGCTTAGCATGGACCTGACACCTAGTAGTCAATGATTTTAGCATCTCCTAAATAAAGGCCAGGTCACATGGCCTGGCCCTCAAGGCTATCAATTATCCAATTGCAAGTTACATGCTCTTCCAATTCCCCTCGGCTCCATTCTGAGAACCCTTTTCAAAGTCAGTCCTGTTGATTTACCATGGGGGAGGGAGACTCTGTTCACAGTGTCCCCTCTGTGTTGAATTGGAGGATAATTACAATATTGAGATTTTTTTTTGCCATATATCAGTATGAATCAGCCATAGGCATACTTGTGTCCCCTCCATCCGGATACCTCCTCCACTTCCCTCCCCACCCCACCTCCCCTCCCGGTTGTCACACAACTTCTGTGCTCTGCATCGTATATCAAACTCCCACTGGCTGCCTGTCTTAGAGGTCACACTGGCTCCTAGAGAGGGACAGAGTGAAGTCACTGTGGCTGAGCTGAGTGAGTCAGAGGCTTGAGCCAGCCACAGTCTCCAGAGGAGAGGGGAAGCCAGTCGAGGTTCCCCCTGCCAGATGGAAGTGGGAAGCCTGGGCCGGGCTGAGCCAGCTGCCTGTCCTCAGCCCTCCCCCAAGCCTACCCCCACCCCCTGGGAGCCTAGAGACCTGTTTGTTTTCCTTGTAAAGAGGGGAGCCCTGCCCTTTGTGAGATTTCTGCTTAGGAAGGAGCAAGCCGTCTACTTGTGCTGCTGCCTGGATTTCCAGCTATTGACACAGACTCTGACAATGAAAGCAAAGGCCAAGAGAGGCAGAGACGGGGTGGCTGATTAAAATGTTCTTCCCCGGTTGTTCAGCTCTGCCCTGGGAAGGCTCGCTGGAAAACCCGGGGAGGAACCGTCTCCTCCAGAGCTGCAGGCCCAGTGAGAGGTGGGGCTTCGAAAATGACCAAGGAGTTTTTGCCCGCCCCCCCGCCACCCCAACCCACTCCAGTGGCTCCAGCTCCCAAGTCTGCTGTTTTGGGGGTTCCACCCTCAGGTAATAACTGGGGTCACGTATGTGACTGTAATTCTTTTCGGGCTCAGTTTGTTTCTAAAATGGGGCAATGAGAGCACTGCTTCACAGAGTTTGTTATAGGTCAGATTCACCCAAGAAAAGACTCAGATGGAGCAGGGTTGTCAGATAAATACAGGATGCTCAGTTAAATTTGATTTTCAGATAAATGAAGGATTTTGTTTAATATAAGTATGTCCTGTGCAACACTGTGGATATACTTATACTAAAAAAAAATTTATTTGTTTAACCAAGATTCAAATTTCAGTGAGTATCCTGTGTTTTTACTCGCTACCTCCCACAGCTATAAAGTGGAGAAAGTTCGAGGGGTTTACTGAAGGGTGATACCTAAGCAAGGGGAGCAAGAAGGGGCAGAGGAGAAGCCACAGGGCTGGGACAACGTCACACAGAGGTCTCAGTCGACCTGCAGGGACGCTTGGGAGCTGGAGCTGGGTAGCCTTTCAGAGTTGTCCAAGCTGAGACTAGGGCACTGGGTTTTATACTCCTATAGCCCACCCTCATTGGATTCTGGTTTCCCCTGGTAGGGTGGGGCCTGATGGGGCGTGAGCTTGGGCAAGGGGGTTGTCCTCCACTGAAGGCAGTTCTGGGAGCTCCCCAAATTCCCCACAGCTAAGGTATGGTGCTTTGGTCCCAGGGGAGTCTGGCCGCGGCCCACCCTGCAACCATGACCCAGAGGTTAAACAGTTTGATGATGATTATGAAAACAGCTTAGCATGGACCTGACACCTAGTAGTCAATGATTTTAGCATCTCCTAAATAAAGGCCAGGTCACATGGCCTGGCCCTCAAGGCTATCAATTATCCAATTGCAAGTTACATGCTCTTCCAATTCCCCTCGGCTCCATTCTGAGAACCCTTTTCAAAGTCAGTCCTGTTGATTTACCATGGGGGAGGGAGACTCTGTTCACAGTGTCCCCTCTGTGTTGAAAACCAGATCCGCTCTAGCCTTCCATTCTGGAGATCTCAACCAATAGCGTAACACTGGTCTCAAGAGTCTGTCTCCTGCCTAGTCCCCTGGTCACAGTCATGGGGACTTCGGTCTTCCTCTGTTTGGCTCTAGCCTCATTCTCATCTTGGTTAGGAGTTATGATGTATGTGCTCAGTCGCTCAGTTATGTCCGATTCTCTGCGACCCTATGTACTGCAGCCCGCCAGGCTCCTCTGTCTACGGGGATTCTCCAGGCAGGAATACTGGGGTGGGGTTGCCAGGCTCTCCTCCAAGGGATCTTCCTGACCCAGGGCCCGAACCCACATCTCTTTCATCTCCTGCATTGGCAGGTAGGTTCTTTACCACTAGCACCACCTGGAAAGCCCTAGGAGTTAAGAGGCTGCCGTTAATTGGGCTGGAATGGTAATGCTCCTCATTGGCTAAAGGGGATCCCTGAATTGTAACTGTGGGGAACACCTGGCTCTAGTTCCTGGATTTGGTCTTTGTAGGGTAGGAGGTTGCAGGCAGGAGGGCAGGGACTGCATCCATGTCTGGCTCTTGCTAGCTCTGGGTGAGCAAGTCCCCAACCCCATCTCACCCACCCACTCGCACACGTCCATTACCCACCGAAAACCCACGATCATTGCATTTTCCCTTTGCAAGGACTCCAGGGGCCCTCTGATTAAGACTGACCTCTAGCATCTGGGCTTCTGAGCCCCCAGCTTCCCCTCTTTCCAGGTCTCCCACTAATGTGAGATATATTTAAGTTCTGGGAGCAGAGAATCTAGCTCTAGTAGAAAAGCATCTAAGTTTGGATTTAGATAAAGAGGCTAAGGGGTCTGAAAATATTGAGACAAAGCAGTTGACATGCCCTCATTCATTCAGAATCACTAACAGTCATCGAAAGCTTGCTGCCAGCCAACGTTATCCCACTAGATTCTCACAGCCTCCTGTCAGGAAGGCACCATTACTATCCCCATTCTACAGATGAGGAAACTGAGGCTTAGCAAAACAAGTGTCTTGCCCAAGGTTCCACAGCAAAAAACAAAAAACAGCAGCAAAAGAGTCAGAATTGCAACCCACACCTGTCTACCAACAGCACTTGGGCTCTGAATAGGAGAATGTACCCTTTGATAGGGTGCACAGATTCATCTGTTTATGTTCAGGCTTGGTGGCCCTGAGTCATCATTATTTTCAGTATCACTCTTCTTGTGAACAGGTAAGCAGCAATAAAAGATGAAACAGCGCCAAAGCCCAGGTCAGGCTGTGGTTGGCACAGTCAGGAGGCTGGCTGAAAGAAGCAGGAGGGTGCGCGGCGGAAGTCAGGTGCAGGGAACAGAAGCCACTCCAGCTGTGTGACAGACAGCATCCAGTGGAAGGAACTAGCGTCTGAGACACCGCTGAAGGGCTCGAGCAGAGGACTGGGACTGGACCCTCTGGGAAGCACACATCTAGCCCCACAGAACTTGTCTGCCAGGTGGCTGCCTCTTTCAGCTACGTAAAAACCACCTAAGACTTACCATCTTAACCATTTTTAAGTGTGCAGCTTGATAGTGTTAACTAAATGCACATGGTTGTGCAACAGATCTCTAGAATTTTTTTCGTCTTGCAAAACTGAAACTCAGTACCCACTTCCCCTCCCCCCACCTCCTGGCAACCACCATTCTACTTTCTGTTTCTATGAAATTGACTAGTTTACATACATCCGTTTAGTGGGAACATGCAATACTTGTCTTTACGTGACTGGCTTACTCTGCTTAGCGTTAATATCAAGTCTTATCCACATTGTCACACATGACAGGATTCCTTCTTTCTTCTAAGTGAGTAATATTCCATTGTGCATATATATCACATTGTGTTTATCCATTCATCCGTAGATACTTGGGTTGCTTCCACCTCTTGGCTATTGTGAATAATGCTGCAATAAACATAGGTGTGCAAATATCTTTTCCAGATCCTGCTTTCAATGGTTTTTAGATATATAACCAGAAGTGGAATTGCTGGATCCTATGGCAATTCTATTTTTAATTTTCAAAAAAATTTTTTTAATATTTAGTTTTTTTTTCCATTTATTTTTATTAGTTGGAGGTTAATTACTTTACAATATTGTATTGCCATACATTGACATGAATCAGGCATGGATTTACATGTGTTCCCCATCCTGAACCCCCTCCCTATTTTTAATTTTTTGAAGAGCCTCCACACTATTTCCAATAGTGGCTATACCACTTAACACTCCCAACAGTGTACAAGTGTTCAACTTTTACCACATCATCACAACACTTGTTTTTTTTTTTTTTAATACAATGGTCATCCTAATGAGGTTGAGGTGATATATCATTGTGGTTTTGGTTTGCATTTCTCTAATGACTAATGATGCTGAATATCTTTTCCTGTGCATGTTGGCCTTCTGTATATCTTTGGAGAAATGCCTATTAAGTTCTTTGCCCATTTTTAAATCCAGTTATTTATTTTGTTGTTGTTTAGTTGTGCAAGTTCCTGGATAATCTTGATATTATCCCCTCATAAGATATATGGTTTGCAGATATTTTCTGCCACTCCATAGGCAGCCTTTTCACTATGTTGGTTGTTTCCTTTGACACACAGAAGTTTTAAGTTTGATATAGTCCCATTTGTCTATTTTTGTGTTTATTGCCTGTTCTTTTGGTGTCATATCCAATAAATCGTTGCTAAATCCAATGTTATGAAGGTTTTCCCCCCATGTTTTCCTCTAGGAGTCTTGTGGGGAGGGCTGCTTGGCACAGTCAGGAGGATGGGGAAATAGACAGAGACCTCTAGTATCTTTGGCTTGGTAAATACCTGCTGTTACCAAGAGTCAGAGCTCAGAACTCTGTACCCCCACCCCTACCCCACCAACTTACTCTTGACATTTATGAAGCTAGTGATTAGACACTGGAACATGGGTGCAGAAAAAACCACCATCTTCACAAATACATCCCCAGTCAGCGATGATTGGGATAGCCAACGATGGTCTCTGCCTTACTGCTGCTTTCCAGTCTTGCTCAAGAGCAACTAATTGTGGAAATGTATTTTTGTTCCCGGCCCTTGCAGTGAAGGAGTCTAGAAGTGTGATGTTTAGCTGTCAGTCTCTGCAGTATAGAAAGGTGGCCAGTAAGGAAGTTGGAATGAATATTGAGCACTGGGTGGGGGGCACCAAGGTAATACAGTAGATGATATATTAGAAAGTTCCAGGCCCCAGCTTAGCCAACAGTGGAGCATTAGTTCACTGTGACTTTCTAAGTACAAAGGAATGGTGGGTTGATGAGGCAGGGTGGTCCTGGGTGGAGGAGTTCAGTGTTCATGGACACTAACTCTGCAGCTGGACAGGGCTGGTGTGGAACCCCAGGTCTTCCATGCCTGAGCTGAGTGACTTGAGCAGATCACTGGGTCTCCCTGGGTTTCCTTTCCATCCTTTGTAAAAGGCAGACGTGGGTGGGGGGGGAAGGAGGTGGCCCAGAACCTCAGCCTTAAAATTTGAACCATCCAAACTGCTCTGAGGGTGTGAGTGTGGCCCTTAGCCTCCCAGAGTCTCCATATCCTCTTAGGCCATTTTACAAGCGCGAACAGGAGGCCAAATTAGCACTAAGGGCTCCCGAGGTGCCTTCTGCTAGGAGGCATTGGCAATGCCCCTCCAGGCTTCCAGAGCCCTTCCCACTAAGCTGGAAAAAATTCTGTAGTCACAGCTGAGAATGGCTGGACAGATATCATGTAGTTTAGTGATTCTAAGACTTCTTTTTAGCCCCAGAATCTCTTCTTTATTTCCTCAAAGTATTTTGTAGAACTTAATGTATTAAACAGGTAAAAATTGGGGCTCTACCAATGGAAGTGGGGAAGGGAATCCCTGTTGCCACCCTCTCCACTTCCCCATCTTCTTCCCACCCCACTGACTTGCACATATTCCAGGACCACCCTAGAGCACAGTTAAAAACCTTGACTGGTTTATTCCAATGCCAGAAGGCCTAATTCTGAGCAAACTCACATTTATCAACTTATATGGTAGCAGGCAAGCCACTTTCTCGCCATGATCTTCAGTTTTCTCATCTGTCAAATGGGGCTATTTCTCTGCTCTACAAGTTGTGTCTTGCCTACAAGACCACATATATGACAGTACTGTAAGCTGAAAACACAGCTTTGGTTTTGTCTGTACCTTGCCTCTTCCTACAGATATTTTGCAGGGAGTCAGGAGTCAAACAATATTGGTCCCCCAGACTTTCAAAATGAGTTTTTTTTACAATTCTACTCCAACCTCAAAATCTGAAATGGTCTATCAGCCTTGTTTCCTTCTCTCTTATCTCAGGAGCCCCCCTCTCTTTTCTCCTGCCCCCATCTCTCCATGTTTCCAGAATTCTGAGTCTACCAGCAGTCTGGACCTTCAGAGCCTCCAGCACTTTTTCCTCTATACCCTTAGTTTTGCCCTGGTCCACCCTTCTTAAGTTGCTCCAGGCTCCCTCCTGCAGGACCTTCATTCCGGGAAGGGAACCTCCAAAGAAGCCAAAGAATACGTACATACATCATTACTGGCCCACCCCTCCCTTGCTGAACTCCACACAATCTCGTCCTATTTAGCCTTCCACTTGGATTTCTTTCAGAGCTGAGCCAACATCTACTTTCCTGACTACTTCCCAGTGTAACACAGTTGGCCAGAGGGGCCAGGCTAAATGTCTCCACTTGGAGGAGCTACCAGGAAATCCCAGGACCTTGTTGAGAGCCAGCCCTTCATAGAGAGACTTTATTAGAACTACTACATGATTACTAATTTGTAGGGCAACCTTTAAAATGGCTTAAACTCTACACAAGGGAGGATGCCAGAGCCAGTTGGTTCTAATTACTTTCTGGTAAAGAGAGCACTAGGAATAGAGAAAAGAGTAGGAAAGGGGTCTAAAGACCTTGATTCAGTGTTCGAAGACAGAGAGTCTGAGTTCAGCAACTGCTTCTTCATGTCCTACACGCATGATACCTTTGTGTATCTCAGTTTGCTCACCTGCCAAAGAGGAGCAGAGAGCGCTCCCTTGCTTGTTAAAGTTAGGCGAGACAAGTTTGCGGGGCTCCTCGACCTCAGTGTGATGGGCATCTGGGACTCGGTCATTCTTGGCTGTGGGGGCTGTTCTGTGCACTGCAGGATGTTTAGAGTCATCCTTGGCCTGTACTCAGTAGATGGCAGTAGCATGACTACCCTCAATTTTGATGACCTAAAGTGTCCCCAGATATTGCCAACATCCTCTTAGGAGCAAAATCCCTCCTGGTTGAGGACCACTGGTATACATGAATACACTGTATAAACAAACTCTTCACTGTTATGGCCTGTATGTGACAAGCATACTTTTATCAATTCATTTACTAAAAGGATAGAAAGTTAAGACCAGATTTGGAAGTGAACATCAAAGCTCTGAAGCAAATACAGACCCTCTCCTCTCTCCTCCTCACATCTGCACCCACCATCAAAGACCAGGTGGCGACAGTCCCCCTCCCTCAATCATTCAGCCTGACCCAGAGCACTCCCCACTGCTGGCTCTGCTGGCCTGTATAATTCTTGCGGCATGAGCCTCACCCTTGTGAAGTTGGATGCATTAATACCAGCAAAATATTTCTTAATCTCCTAAGCCTCCACTTTGAATCCTTAAAAAGGAAAGAAAGAAATGGCACAAATCTCTTAATTAGGACGCCCAATCACTTCAATAAATATTTACCCAGTTCCGGCATGAGGCACAGAAACCCTGCCCCCTTAGTCAATGGAGGTCAGCGAAGTGCGCCTTGGGAACAGCGGGATGCAGTGGAACTCGGCTTTGGATGGAATGCTGGGAGAATGTTTCCAGTCTTACACTTCTCCTAAAGACAGATGAACAAACACATTCCATGCCTCCTCTGTACAGAGTCCCAGGTGGACACCAGGGGCTCATTGAAATTATTGCCTGGCTTCCTTAGATTTCTGGAGAGACATGGTGGCCTCCTCGGCCAGTTGCACCATCAAGCAAAGCAAACCATCCCCAGAATTCTCTAGGATGTCTTGGCTGACCACCTTTGTCCCTGTCTGGAACTCTTCCCCTTCCTCTGCACTTAGCCACACTAAGCACCACCCTCTACAGGCAGCTTCCCCGATTTCACCTCTGTCCATCCCTTCTACCCTATACTGCTCCCCTGAGTAGACCCTATTTAGTTCTTAGAGCCTACATACAGCCTGGGATTAGAGGCTGTCTGTGCTTGTGTATGTTTCAAAGGTTTCCCTTAGATTTTGGTACCTCCAAAAAGGTCTTAGAGTAGACTTTCTGTAAATTCCTGCCAGGTAAGCAATTAAGGGTCCCTATTCCCATTCTACAGATCTGGAAACTGAGACCCTAAGAGTTTCCAGGTCTTCCCCAGGATCTGGCAGCTCCTTAGGCCTCTTGATTTAGGCTGGGGCTGCCATGCAGTACTGAATGGATTCCTCTCTTCTGCCCTTAGGAGACTTTAGAGACATTTCACTGGAGCCTGAAATACAAGTGGGGATGATGGCAGGGGTCTTAGGGAAGGGAGCCAAAGGACTTTGTCAGGTGGCAAAACATGGAAAGGATTCAAGGAAGCAGAAAGCA